GTGAAGATGACATAATAGAAAAGGAGTTTTAGCAAAATCTGAGTCAGAAAACTGCTGGAAAAGTGTGATTTCCATAAAGATGACAGTATCTGATAGCCTCCTTTTTGAGCTGGCAATGGAGTGTATAAACGAATTGTTAGGCAGATTATTGAAAATGTGAACATTGGATCCTTAGCAAGCAAATACATGCTGCATTTGACAGTAAAAGGCCAAAAGAAAGATTGAGAAGAGTATGGCTTTGGTAAAACAAAACTCATCTTGCTTTCCAATATCTGTTGGTTGAAGGTATTATCTGCTACACTCATGTAATATAGCCCACCAAAGTAATGGAGAAATGGATAATGATGACAATACATCATCCATTTATGCATATGCTTTCCTCTGTCACAAGAAGATGGACAATATTTGAGGTTCCAATTCAATATCTTCGGTAACAAAAAACAAACTAACAATACGTATTTCTTGGTATGAATTGAATTCTAACTTTGCCAAGCTCTTGATGTGAATCAAATTCTAACTTAAATATTCACAGCATGTATTCATTTTCTTGGGGCTCATGCTAGGTAACATATGTTACTAAAGCATTTGTAATGAAAGGTACAAGTCCTACATCAAAATCTCGTGTCTCAAGCTTGCAACATCTCTAGTCGAAAGAAAGAAAAGAGCTGATTTCTTTCTATGTTCCACTGAACAAAAAGTTTAGCTACACCACTAACCATCCAGCCCAAATATTGCATATTAAACGTATGGCATTGTTGCTGCTATTGGCGTATTAAGAAGGGCCAGAAAAGTACATATGTAGCTTTGGCCAACAATTCCAAAGGCAAATATGAGCAAGTTTTTAATGGTAGAGGATAAGAAGGATTAGCATCAGATACATTAAAAGAAACTTATAGAGGTATTTCTTATGTATTTTCCCTTAATTAACGATATGATTATTTTTTTCCTCAACTTCATTTTCCCAGAAAACTAATATGACGCCCTTCAAGAGTTTCATGCTTCAAATTTCTTCGATACCCTAAATGTTGTTTATTTTCAACTAGTGAAAGGAGGCTAAGCTAACTCCAATGTCATTTAGTACGAAATAATGCAATTAATGGGAATTGCAAGATAATCCTCTTTATGGGAAGAGTGAATGTAGCCCAATTTTCCCCTCTTTTCTTTTCTTTTTTGGGTATTTTTGTCAATTCCAAAATGTAACATAAATTTTCACGTTTTGTTTCTTTTAAGTAAAACCTACCAATATAAGTAACAGTAAACTTATTTGAATAAGAAGCTTGATAAAATATTGATGTATGACATATGTTTAAATTATGGCTGCCCATGAGCCATCAATTTTTTCATTATCATTATCAAAATGTAAGACATGTATACAAAGAGCATAGCAAACAGCCAAGCACAAGATTTCATATCAGTACCTGCTGTCACCAAAATTACACTTCTTAACCCCCCCCCCCCAGCACATTAATTCTTAACCCTTTAAATTAACACAACAGAAAAATATAACTACTTATGGGGATTATCCCATTATGCATTTTATCCAGGGAAATCAGGACCATACATTCTAAATATAGTGTCAAAGAACAACTGCATACAATCGTCTATGATCAAAATCTACCTACATAAAAAAAATCTTCGATCCAAAATGATATAAGAGGGAAACCACAATCCAAAAGTGGCTCAGCCCTGAATTGATATTCAAAGTGAAACTCCACTGAAACTAGCTTTTGATGGTTTAATAATATTGTCAAACATTATAGGTTACAACTTCGAAAATTTGAAGAGCTTTTTCTTCTTTGTGGTTGTGTTGTCAATAGTAAGCAAAACTTTTCCTAGCTCAACAATCTTGAAGCTTGCTAGACAACACAGGCTCAGCTGGGGACATTGTCCTTGGATTCTATATCATCACAACATTTACGTGACTTGAATTTATGCATGACTTCTTCTTTAAAGTGTGAGAAATATACATGACAAGGTCTAATCCAGTCATCAATAAGTAACACAAAATATCTCTCACCGCCTAAAGTAGGTGCACCACGTGTTAATTTAATTATGTCAAGTTTTTTATATGACAAACATTATTATTAATAGTTTATCAAGTGTTGGCAGGTTTGCTTAAATTTATTCAGTCGCCAATTTACTTTGCAAGAAATTGATTGAAAGCCTTATGTCGAATGGAGTGGAAGACAAAGTTAAAGTTTGTTGCGGCATTGGAATCAAGTCAATGGAATGCCTATAGAGTAATTTCTCGGTAAATCTTGAACTTACTTTACTTGAAAATTTTCTAAGTCAATGGAGTGTCTATAGGGTAATTTCTCGGCGAATCTTGAACTTACTTTACTTGAAAATTTTCTGTTTGGCCTCTTTAGGTCATGCTATACCCATTAGGGCAGCTCCAATGGGGGTGTAATGGGGAGCCATTACATCTCTCCATGACACGGCTCCCCATTGGAGCCGTGTCATGGAGATTACACGCATCACATGTATGATGCGTGTAATCCATTGATTTAACTTGATTTTGTTATTATTTTGTTATTATTAACTTGATTTAACTAGTATTCATTTTGTTATTATTTGTATTTTATTTGATTTAACTTATGTAATATTATGTTATGGAGTTCAACTAATTACATTCCGAATTATTAATTAAATATGGATTATTATGATATCTTCGCATTTGAAGTATCAAAAATTTGTTTAATTTCCTACATAATTATTTTAAAAAAAATAACAATATATTATTTTTGAAACATAGAAAAAGATATATTATTCAAACTTAAAAATTAATAATATCATTTTTAGAAAATAAAAAAAATTCAAAATGTACAAAATTTAACGAAAGTTAGTACTTTATTTTTTAAAAATAACAAAATTAGTTTTAAAAATTACTTTATTTATTTATGGGATATGAGTTATGCATTATTAAAATAAATATTTGATTAATTGTGGACCCATGCTATTACACCTTGTGGAGTGTAATCTATTGTGAGTGAAAGTGTAATAAAAGAGGAGAAAGTGCTGACGTGGCATGTGGATTACACTCCACAAAGTGTAATAGCATTGTGGATGCTCTTAGGATAAACCCATATTGCCCTATTTACGGCAAGTTCTTAACCAACCTTTAGTTAACCCAACAATGAATTTTGTATTTCATATCCTTCCTTATATATTCTCTAAATTATTTTTGGTTTAAAAAATCCAATATGAGATTTAGTCGATTTCTCACCATAATTAACCTGAATCTTTTCTTTATTGCAAAATCTCTTCTGCTTTGGAAAGCTTTTTAAAGTTGACTTGATCCAAATCTCTTGGTACATTTTCTAGTACACTTTTGTGTTTAGACTCAAACTCTTTTCAAATTCGAATGACCGTATCCTTCCTTTAGTATACTTCGTTTCTTATAAAAATTGTTGGTCTAATTGCAATTATTTTTATTTGTGAAGTTTACTTGTGTTGGAACTGTTTTGTTCAGGTCATTATAATGAACCTTGTCTTAATGCTAAACCCTTGAAATAAACCCAAAAAATTACATATCAATCTATTTATTCCCTCTCTAGGTCGCCCTATTCAGAACAACACCATGTAAATCACATCATCACTAGAAATGTGATCCAAAACTTTTGATGTTCTTTCAACTTTAAGAAATAGATCTCTTATTATTTTTATCAGCATGCATGTTGTGCTTTTTTATTCCCTTTTTTTCACAATATTGCAACAAATTTAATATCATCATATCATGTATTCTATTTTGATTAACATGTCTAAACCTTTAATGCGAAATATAGAAGTTGACTCAAGCATATATATAGAAACATTAGCATTCTTATTTATTGCCATTACATTGAATTTGAACATATCATTATAAAGATATCTTTTTCCCACAAATATATCAATCTTAGACAGAACAAGTTTATCAGCCTAAAAAATAAGTATAAACCAAACTTGTTCAATAAATTACCTGACACTAAATTCTTCATAATTTTTGACACATAGATTACGTTATAAGAGATACAATATTGTCTGAAGTAAATTTTTAGTTTACTTCACCAAATCCTACAACTAGAATGGCGGCAGAATTTCTCATGTATACTATGGTACCATCTTCATCTGGATTCGTGGTCTTGAAGAATTCTTTGTTTTTGTAAGTATGTTAAATAGCTCCAAAATCAATCCACCAAGCAAAGTCATCTTCAACAGGATTTCTTTTGGAGATCATTACAACCACATCTTTGCTCAAGTGTCGGAAGAATCTTGCCTTTCCTTTTTTTTTTTTTTAAGGATTCTGCATTCGGACTTGTAATGTCCTTTTTAGCAGAAGCATTTTCCCTTGTTCTTCCTTTTCTTGTTGTTGTATTGATTCTTGGACTAATTTCCCTTCTTGCTCCTTGGGATTTGCTTGATTGTTTTTTTTCAATCACATACACTTTGTTGAAATAGTCTTTGTTCTCTTCTTGGACTTGAGAATCCTTTCTGTCTTGCATGAGAATTTCTTTTTCTATACGGATTTAGCAAGGTCTAACTGACTATCTCTCTTGATATTTGCCTTGAGGAGGAAAAGTTTGTGGATGTTGGGTTTATTTGACTTATTGAATTTTTAATAACATCTAACAGTTAGATAAATAAATAAAAATGATATTTACTTTTGATTTCTGGCTGCGTGCCTGTAAGATATACAAATGACTTTCAGATTGCTAAAATATCAAATTGTCCTTTTTTTTTTTTAAAATTGTGTAAACTGTTGTTCATATGTTGTTAAACAGGTAAGTGCAATCTTTATAAGAACGAGGATATGGTTGGAATTCGGCTTCAGAAAGTTGTTGACTTGACTTGTGTCGACAATAATTTTGGAGTCATGTCTAGACGTAGAAATCAAGGATGCTTACTATTCATCATTCGCAAAGAAAACTGATTAAGTCCATAAAATTTTCATTTATTTATTCCAAAGCAATAAAATACATTCAAATGGGCATTCACTTTTTTCCAAGCACTTCAAATCTTAATCAGTAGGAATGAGATCTGCAATACTCATAGAATCTTGATAGAATCCAATAATCAATATAATATGACCATGCTTTTCTATGATAAGGGCTAATACAAAGAATTATGGCCAAGGCAGTTACTATCACCACATATGAAGCAAAAGAGCTCCAAATGAATGCTACCACATCAATTACGCCATCAACTTCTTTGTCTTGACCACCAACATTTACGGGTTGTGAAGCAATGGGGTCACAACTTCTCTTGATCAATGGTCCACAGAGATCTCGATTTCCACTTTCAATACTTGCAAATTCATTGGACCTTTTTCCAAATTGAAGAATCCCAATAGAGTAACTAGGACCCATTCATCTCATTCTCATGTTTCAATTGAAAACTTTCCATGTTTGCTTTTTCTCAAGAAACGAGGCCTGCAATACTCGTAAAATCTAGATAGGATCCAATAATTAATATAAAAAGACCATGCTCTTCTATAATAAGGGCTAACGAAAAGAAGTACGACTAGTGCAATCACGATCACCATATATGAAGCAAAAAAGCTCCAAGGGAATGCTGCCACATCAATTGCACCATCAACTTCTATGTCTTGATCACCAACATTTTCAGGGTGTGGAGCAAAGGGGTTACAACTTCTCTTGAGCAATGGTCCACAGAGACCTGGATTTCCTCTATAATTGCTGTCGTCAAAGTTTGCAAACTCCCCTGTATCAGGTGTTCTGCCAGACAAGTTATTGTATGACACATTGAAGATGGACAAGAAGTTCAAGGATGCCAGCTCTGAAGGTATTTCGCCACTGAAATTGTTGTAAGAAAGATCCAAGGATGCCAGTCCTATTGGGTTTCCCAATGTAGTGACTATCGTGTCAAGAGGAAGAAATGCATCTGCGGCAAAGTGTCCTCTGCCGAAAGAGATGTTGCTGAAGCATGAAGGTAGTGGCCCAGAAAATTTATTTTGAGAAAGATCCGTAATTGTTAGTTTCTGCAGCTGACATAAGTGCAAAGGAATATGACCATGCAATTCATTTCCCCCAAATAGAAGAACCCTGAGGTCTCTAAGTTTGCCAATATAGCGTGGTATACCACCAGATAGCTTGTTGTACCTCCAATCAAGTGTCATCAAATTGAAGCTTCCAGACAGCATCTTTGAGATGGATCCTGAGACCATGTTATGGTGCAGGTGGATGAACTTCAAGAACGTAAGTTGGGAGCAAGCTGGTAAAGGTCCGATCAACTGATTTTTGGAAAGGTCAAAAAAACTAAACATCTCAAGATTGCATACAGCATCTGGTAAGTTACCTTCTAGCAAGTTGGCTGACATATCAAGAGAATACAAAAATGAAAAATTTCCAATCCAACTAGGAATTCTGCCCCGAAAACCATTATTGGAGCAACTAATCTTGGTTAGGTTGAAAGGATGTCTTAGATTTGATTCCATCAAATATTTGCCTTTCCTTTCTTCAACAGTGACTCCTGAATCCTTTGTTCTTGTTTTCAAAGATTTGGAGTCGTCTAAAAGGGATGTTAATTTTTATTTATTTATTTAAAAAAAAATATTTTGGGTGACTTGGCACACTTAAACTCAATACCAAGTAGTGACTCTTATTTTTTCCTAAAAACCCTTTTTAGACTTTTATTTTGGGCCAAAACCATCGCATATTTTAAGTTCCATTTTAGGCTCTTTTCCTTTATTTATTTTCTAATATCAAAAAATTAATTTTCAAATAAAAAATATTAATCAAAAAATTTATTTTTTTCTAACACCTAAAAATTCATTTTTTTCATTCTTTCAATACTAAAAATTTATTTCATAAAAAATCATTCTTTTAATACCTAAATCAATTTTATTATTTTTCAAAAAAAAATGGGGCATGTCAATAATAGGATATGGACCTTTCTTGTGACTAATTGCAAATGTTCCAAGTTGTTTCAATTGCTAATATCCTGTTCTAAATCAAGAAATTGGGCTTGCATCAATCTACTTTGCATGAAGAGTTAAATTCTGTAATTCTGGAAGTGGACAAGGATCTTGAGTTCGAGTCAAGTACTTGAGCTTGATCATACTCGCAAGAAAATCGAGTCGATCTCGAATTTTCAAGCAATTTTTCGAATTCGAGTCTGAACTCCATTTCTGCTACTTGGTGGAGCTCGAGCAATATATCTCTACTGTCGAGTCGAGCTCGAGTATAACGATATTCGCACTTGACTCAACTCGATTACATCTCCAGCTATAACTAGCCATTGGAGGATATTTTTTTGTTTAAAACAACTTATGTCAGCTCTTGGATGATTTTCAATTAACATTTGTAGGGGTCTTTTGGAAATGGTAAAATTGTAAAAGTATTGATAAAACAAAGGTTACAAGTGTGTGTTGCAATTAAAATATACTATTATTAGTTTTGTCATATTTGATGACTATTTCTTTCGATAATGTACTATTATTTATCCAATAAAAAATCCTCTCTAACCACAAACGCCAAATACCCACGCGATGCGTGAGCACTCCCCCTAATTTATAGAATTATAGTAAAGTTTAATGGTTGAAAATGTCTTATTTGACTAACTAATCTCTCTCGCAATTGCCCATAATTGCACCAATGCCCTTTTATTATAGGACTTGTGATGTCAACCCGCTATATTATAGGGATAACTTTTCTATACATTGTTTATGTGTAATTTTTTTTTTTTACACTAACAAATTTAGATCATGTCACGTAACATGAATTCAAAAAATTGAAATTCAAATCATGCACATGTGATATTCATCCAAAATTGCTAATGTAAAAATATTACTACACTATTTGTGTATAAAAAGTTAATCCATATTATAGTCTATATATATATATATATAGGGCAAAAAACCGCGGTGGTTTTCAAACTTTCAACTTTGTACACTTTTAGTCTTTCAACTAATAAGTGCGTAAACGTAGTCCTTCAATTAATAAAAATGTGTAATCATAGTCCTTCCATCTAATTTAACTGTTAACATGGACAGGAAGATACAAATATGGTACAAAAAATAAAGGGATAATTTCAGAAACCTCCCTTGAGGTTTTTAACAATTTCATTTAGCTCCCTTGATGTTTTAAAAATTACATATACATCCCTTATCATTTAAAATGACAATACTACCCTTGAATATTTAATGAAATTTCCTTGTTTGGTATGTTTATATTTAGAATAAATTTTTTTTTATTTTTTTTCCTTCTTATTCCTTTTTTTTTTTTAATTTTTTGCCAATAAAACTATGAAACTATCACTATTATCTCAAGTTTCTATTGCAATCAAATGTCCAATTAGTGATTTTTTTTATGAGTTAACTTTATATGCAATCCAATGTTTTTGCTGATCTTCATTTTCTATTTTTTGGTATTAAATAACAATAAATCAAAAGAAAATGGTCCAAAATCACTATTAAATTATGATAATCCAGCTATTTGAAAAATTCATAAACACTACATGAATTATTTGAACATTTTCTTTTCTATCTTATAAATTTAAATCCATAATAAAATACCATCAAAAGTATCCTATTATAGTGATAAAATTATTATTATTGCCGTTTATCAATAGTAGGTACGAATATGAAAAATTGGGCACATTTTTATTATAATTATACTAGATAATCTTATAATTATATAGGGAAGTAAATTAAAACTCATTGCACAAGGGTATTTTTGGAAATTCATTTAAAAATTTGACCAAATCAATATTATTTTAAGATTTTGTTACTAAAACTATCAAATCAAGGGAAGTAGGTGTAATTTTCCAAACATTAAGGGAGTTGAGTGAAATTTTTAGAAACCTCTAGGGAGTTTTTGTAATTATCCCAAAAATAAATGTCATGTGAGCATCGTGTGATGTGTTTCCTGTCTATCGTAATAGTCAAATTGGATGGAAGGACTACAATTACATATTTTTATTAATTAGAGGACTACATTTACGTACTTATTAGTTGGAGGACTAAAAGTGCGCAAAGTAAAAAGTTTGAAGACCATCGCAGTTTGGGGGGGGGGGGATGAGGCGCAGATTTGATTTGAGTTAACCCATTTTATCAAGTTAGAAATAGTTTGAACTGCTCTAATTTTCATATTGATACCAATTTTTTGTAAAAAAAAATAATTAGTGAAATATACACAAATTTTACAAGTTAATTAAACTAATAAATCAAGAAATAAAAATCATTTACTTGCTGTGCCACATTTTGTTAATAGTTTAGTGGCTAACGTTGAAACCCCAAAATATAAGGGTTTTGAGTTTTAATCCCCCTCTCCTCTCCCTACATTGCTAGAAAAAGGAAAACAAAAAGTTGAGCGACTGTACAATTTGGCCATTTGTATTGCAAAATGGGAACTTGATCATTCATTTGCTTTTGACCAATTAAAAATTATCCAAAGCCGCTCTAATCTTCATCTTCATACATTAATTAGTAAAAAAAATTAAGGCTACTCAGAAACGAAATAGTAATTGTGCAAATAAAGAAAATTAAACCACAAAAAATGAGAAAAAAAAAAAGCTGCAGTGCAAAATATATTGTTGATGGTCTCAACTCTTTCTAATTTGTTTCATTTTCATTGCTGCACCCCCTTCCCCAAGATTAACTCTATTGGAAAATAAATATTAATTTCAACAAATAGAAAGGAATGCTGAAACTAACAAACACATAATCAACATGTTAAAATTTATTTTGTCTGACCAAGAATTCAGTTTATTATTGTTTCTGGTTATGGACATGAACCCATTGCGGGAGCAAAAGCAACTAATTGTGTTCTGTGGCACTAATATTTTCAATCTTTATGAGAACAAGAATATGATTGAAATTTGCTTCATTTATTCTGAATCAACAACATAGATTCATATGGGACTTCACTTCGAAGTACTTAAAAGTCTGAACTAGTACTTTTTTTTTTTGGGATGATAGTGGAAAAGTCCACTTTTATTGTCACTCTACAGTGTTGGACATGAGAATTTCACCTCATAGAGTTCCTCTTTCAATACTTGCAAATACATTGGACCTTTTTCCAAATTCGAGAATCCCAATAGAGAAACTAGGACCAATTCATCTCCTTCTCATGTTCCAATTGAACACTTTTCATGTTTGCTTTTTCTCTAACGAACAAGACCTGCAATACTCGTAGAATCTAGATAGGATCCAATAATCAATATAAAAAGACCATGCTCTTCTATAATAAGGGCTAACACAAAGAATTACCACAAATGAAATCACGATCACCATATATGAAGCAAAAAAGCTCCAAGCGAATGCTGCCACGTCAATTGCACCATCAACTTCGATGTCTTCATCACCAACATTTTCAGGGTGTGGAGCAAAGGGGTTACAACTTCTCTTGAGCAATGGTCCACAGAGACCTGGATTTCCTCTATAATTGCTTTCGTCAAAGGTTGCAAACTGCCGTGTATCAGGCACCCTGCCAGACAAGTTATTGAATGACACATTGAAGGTGGACAAGGTAGTCAATGATGCTAGCTCTGAAGGTATTTCACCACTGAAATTGTTGTAAGAAAGATCCAAGCTCTCTATTTGGTTCAACATGGAAAGTCTTGGGGGAATGGATCCTTGCAAGTAGTTGTGGGATAAATTTAATGCCCGGATATGACTGAGATCACCAAATTCAGACGGAATTGCTCCAATCAATTGATTACATGACAAATCAAGTCCAGACATGAAATTTAATATATTCCCTGTATAGCGTTCGGCTCTACTTTTTGTTGTGAATTCCACTTCTTCTTGCTCGGGAGAAGTTAACACATCCTCACTCACGTACTCGTCAATACCCAATGAATTAGACTTATCGAATCCTATTGGGTTTCCCCCTGTAGCGACTATCGTGTCAAGAGCAAGAAATGCATCTGCGGCAAAGTGTCCTCTGCCGAAAGAGATGTTGCTGAAGCATGAAGGCAGTGGCCCAGAAAATTTATTTTGAGAAAGATCCATAATTGTTAGGTTCTGCAGCTGACATAAGTGCAAAGGGATATGACCATGCAATTCGTTTCCACCCAATAGAAGAACCCTGAGCTCTCTGAGTTTGCCAATATAGCGTGGTATACCACCAGATAGCTTGTTGTACCTCAAATCAAGTGTCATCAAATTGAAGCTTCCAGACAGCATGTTTGAGATGGATCCTGAGATCATGTTATGGTGCAGGT